ACATGCAAAAAGCCTAGCACCCCCGCTCCCTTTCTTTCTTTCATCCCCCCCCAAAAAAAAAAGTAAGGAAAAAAAAAAAAAAAAAAAAAAAAAAAAAAAAAAAAAAATTTTTTTTGGTAACACTATCACATTTTCGGGGGTTGTTTTTAATATAATTTAAATTTATAATTGTAATTAGACTACATATGAGGTCACGTATTTTTAACTTTGTTAAATTAAAAAATTTAAATCATCTATTATGTCATATTATATATCATGTGATTACTGCTAGTAAAAATTCCGGTATTTTGTCGACTTACGTACACACAATTAATCAAACACTCGCATAACATGGCTGCAACAAACGAAGAGTGCGCGCGGCTGCGTCAAGAATTAAATTCAGTTCGCTCCTTTTATGGTGGGTATATTAGGGATTCTCTTCACGTTACAGGAGCAAAATTATGACCCCAGTGTTTTGGTTTCAGAACAGAAGTTGCAGGATTCCAATTCGAGATTTAAAAAGTTGCAGAGATTCAGTGAAAATCAAAAGCACCAACTCGAAGAATCTCAACGAAATGTGTCACAATCAGGTCGGTGAAAGATATTGCAAAGGTTCCGATTGTCATTTTTCACTCGTCTTGGTGCTAATAAGTTGTCCCTTCTCATAGAAGAGGAAAAGCTTAAAGCCATAAGTGAGTGCAAGGCAGCCAACGAGAGATTGGATAAGCTACATTTGGAATTGGCCTTTATGGAAAGGAGTCTGGAAGAGGAAAAGGAGAGTAAACGCTCACTTCTCAATTACAAAGATCAAGAAATAAATCAGTCAAAAGGTACGCGGGAACAGAGTAGAATCAGTAATGACGATATCCATACGTATTTAATTTTCTTGGTTTCAACAAAAGATACGATCGAACAGGTTACGGTTTTACGTTCACAGTATCAACAGCAAATATACGACTTACAAAATGAACTGCAATCCATAAAAATGAACGAATATCAGTTGAAGGTTAATTAATCATTTATGATCGTTCCATGTGTTACATTGAGATTTCTAATTTGTTATTTTCGGAAAATCAGAATAAATTGACGATATCAGATGCAGAGATAGAGTCTCTTAAAGCCCAAATAACTTCAATGGAAAGTGAAGTGAAGCAATGGCAAAATGTGGCCAAAAGCACATCTGATAGTAAGGTGGGAATCGATGTTTTGCGCATACGAAGGAATATCACCTAGACCAACACCTGACGTTATTCGTCTCTTTATTTAAACAGAATAAGGAGATACATTCTCTAAACTCCAAGGTTGAGAGCTTGTCGATAGAGCTTGAAGAGGTTCGACAGCGATCATCGAATTTTGAGAAGTCTTATAAGGAACAGGTTATAATTGCGCAAAGGGCAGTAATAGAAAAAGACGACAGAGAGAGATATCATGGTGATTTGATTGAGAAATTAATGAATGAAGGGAAATCTTTGAAAAATTTAAGTGAGATATATGAGAAACGACAGGAGGAGGACACGCAAACTATCCTGCGATTAGAAAGTAAGAATATTTTGATTGAAAAAATTTCCCCCCCCCGATTCACTTAATTTAACTCTTATTACATTGTTGTGCGAATAGCGGAAATTTCCACGGTTAAAACATCCCTGGCCGAAGCTACATCGCAGAACGGTCAGGTATGATTAATTTATTTTTGGCAAGATATTCTGGACTGTTTTTTTTTTTATAAAACGTTCACTTGCGGAGCAATAATATATATTTATATCAGTTGTATGAAGAAATTCAAAATCTGAAAGAAGAGATCTCGAAGCTCGAGGAAGAGAAAAAAAGTTTAAGTCAATTATCATCAGTCATGTCGGCTTCTCCAAGCAGCGCTGTCGAGAAAGCATTGCAAAAGAAAGGGCAATCCATAATTCAAATGGTATGGGCAATCATATTTGTTAATTCAATTAATAATGAGATTTGATAATGATTCGATAAAATTATTGACTTCATTTAAACGTTTCAGTATTCCGACTACAAAAATATTCAGGAACAGCTTATTCTAGAACAAAAGAGAAGTCGTGAACTCTCTGAAGCATTGACTACCTTCAAGTTCGAACTCGAAAATTATGTAACTAGAAATTTCTTTATAATTCGGCCGTTTTTGGAAACTCCTGATCTTTTTTTTTTTGGAACCATTTTTTAGGCTCCTCAAATTCAACAGAGGAACGACGAGTACAATCAATTACTGGAAGAAAATTACTCTCTCGTGGAACAATTAAAGCTGAGTCAATCCGAAATGCAACGTCTTACTCAAATTGTACGCAATCTTGCAACTTCGAAGTGCATGTGACATGTAATAGTTGGCTGTAACTTATTCATCTTATCTTTTTAGAAGGAGAACGTGGAGTCGGAAAATGCGGAATTGATTGATCGCAATGACAAATTGCAGAGCGGTAATTTATAATTTTGCAAATTATTTTCGTAAACGACAAGTGATTTAACTTCATATTTATTCGTCATAGAAAAGGAAATATATATGGATCATAATGCGTCCCTAATGCGCCAAATTGAAGAGCTTCGAAAGGGCGGACCTAGCTCACCTGTGATTAGTGCTGTCGACGCCGATGGAACGATTCCACGCGACATTGATGGTCTATATAGACTTAGCTTCAATTTGAAATCGGAAAAGAATGTTTTGTTCAAAAAGAACAAAGCGCTCGAAAACGAGATAGGCACGCTAAGAGAAAAATTGGTTCAGAAAGATTCAGAATACAAGAACGCTGCTCAGGAGATTTCTCGTCTTCAACTACGTCAGAGGCAGTTGCATACACAAATTGAACAAGAAAAACGTTCGCTTCAAGGAAGGTCTCTTCTGAGCAGCCTGAGTGACCAAGGTAGTCCCTCCAGGTTATCTTCTTCGATGCTTCAAATGTCCACCGGCATTCAGTCTGATGAAAAACTTCAGGCCGAATATCAAGATGTAAAGGTAATAATGGTCTTCATGAGTTGAGCTCTCTCTTTATAAATTATTAAAGCGCTCATTTTGTACGCATTCTTTCTTTAGAATCGTCTCGAGATTGCATTGGAAGAGATGAAGGTTCGCGACAAAGATCTTCAAAAAGTAAATTTGGAGATGACCTCACTACGCTTCGAGAAGACACAGCTTTCTCATGACGTTAAACACTGGGAAGGTGGGTTCGAATTTTGTCGTTCTTTGCGGTCTCATAAACTACGTGGTTATTTATATGGTATCATTATATTTTAGACCGATACCAAGTTCTTCAGAAGCATTATGACATGAGAAACGAAGAAATTCAAAATATGAAACAAATATTGCGCCAGACTCAACTACTAAATGAGCAAATGGAAAAGCAAATGATTATGGTATAAAATGTCTCCATTTATATTCTATTCATCTTTGTTAAAGCGTATTCTTATGTGAATATCCCCGCAGTCCGAAGAAGGTAAATCTGCCTTAAACTCTGAGCTCACGAATGCGAAGAATGAGCTTAATATTCGCCAAACCAAATGGGAAGAAATACAAGCCAATTTCAATAAGGAGATGGAAAATCTCTTGGCAGCTAAGGAAAAAGCTGAATTAGCTGCACGAGAATCTCAATATTTATCAGGAGATAAGCAACGACTTGAACGTGAGCTCGAAGAAACCAAGGAAAAGATGATATCTGCTCAGACGAGGAGTGAGAACTTGCAAGAGCAGTTTAACGATATGAGCACGAAATATTCCTCATTGTTAACGAAAACTGCTGAAGAACGCGCAAAGCTTATTGAAACAAACAGCACTCTGCAGAAGTCGGTCAATGATTTGTCAGAAGAGAAGCGAAACCTCTCTGAAACAATAGAGGCTAAAATTAAAGAGATCCAGCAGTGCAAAGAACAGCTCGCGTTATTTGACTCGAGTGATCAAGGAGCAAGAATCTCGCAGCTAAAGTAATTTCTATATACCAAAACCCGCTCCTCAAGGTGTTCATTGTCACGTTATTAATCTTAATTATCTATCGTATAAAGGACCGAACTGGAAAATATCGAAAAAGAAAATTCTCGACTTCTCGAAGATAGTAAAACATACAAAGAGCTGTACGAAAAATACCAAGCCGATCTTGATAATAGTAATCGCTTGTATTTTGAACTTAAGTCCGCCACTGATGCTGAGCGTGAAGAAAAGATGGTAAATACACATACACATATGCATTTCTGTATCACGTGTGCATGCAATTTCATGTTCGGTTCACATCGTCTCTCATCTGCCTTAGACCTCAATTAAGGAGCTTCAAGATGAGCTTCAGCAACTTAAAGAGAAGAATGATGAGCTGACCAATAAAACTCGAGATCTAACTGTTGCTCACGATGAGTTGGTCAGAATAAAACAGTCACTGGACGAAACCATTGCTAATAATGATGCTCAAGAGCAACGCTTGCGAGAGGAGATGAAAAGACAAGAACAAATGCTGGAGGATGCACAAACCAACTACAACCGTGAGTTGGTTGCTCATGCTGCTGTCGTGCAACAATCCCACGAGCTCAATGAGAAATACATTCAGTTAAATACCGAGCTTGAACAACTCAAGGTATAATTAAAAATGTTTATCGTGTGCGTCGTGAAATTCTCATTTTGACACAGGACGATTTGAAATTCTTTTAGAACCAGTTAAAGAACACCGAATCGACTTTGAAAAATGAAAAAGAACAATTCGAGAAAGACCTGGCAGACGTTCAGAATCGGTAATCTAGAAATCTTTATTTTATCCCTACAGGAATTTTTTGCGTTCAATGGTTAATGACACACATATTTTATGTTCATTGTCCATTGAAGTTGTAACGAACTCGAGAGCGAGAACAAAGTTCTTCACGGGTATATCGACACTAACTCTTCGGAGAAGACACCTCAGGACGAAATAATTTCACTCTTGCGGCGTGAAAAAGAGAAACTGGCGGCCCAGAAAGAAATTTTCTCACAACAAGCTGAAAGATTTAAGGCTCAATTTGAACAAACCCAAAAGTCATTGGATGAAACCCGAGAATTACTAGCTCAGGTAGAAAATTTTAAGGTCGTATGACTTCGTTTGCCTACCAACCGTGATTCTTATTAACGAGTCGATGTTGTAATGCTGTTTAGGAACGCGAGCGCGCAAAGGATTCTGAATCATTCGAGAAACAGCAGGCTGAACTCCTCGAGAAACGTATTCAAATGAAGATTCTTGATGAAAGCAATCAAACTCTAAGAGCAGAGAGAGAAAAGTTAGAACAGAAAGCTACCACTTTGCAATCATCGATAAAAACCAACGAAGAGCGTATACAGGCTCTTGAGGGTATGCACGATTTCATCACTCTTTCTGATAATATGCGATGAGAATTTATTGATTAAAGTTGTTGTTGTTATTTCAAAATAGCTCAAACTCGGATTCTAAACCTTGACCGGGAAAGTGCTCTCCAGGAGGTGAAAATTCTTCAGGAAGATAACGAACGATGGAAAAATCGTTTCCAAGCGATCTTGCAAAAATATGGAGTATGTTTACTTTACATAATGCATCCACCCTTAATATTTTGCGACCTGTGAAATTTTTTAAGTTCTTTTATCTTCAACCTAAAATAAACAGATCAGCGACCCTGCTGAATTGCAAGATTTGAAGGAGAACCTGAAAAATGCCTCCGAAGAAAGGGATAAACTTAGGACAGAGGTTGTTAAATTAAAGAAACAGGTAAACGATTTGACATTGTGTATAAAATGCTAGGCATTGATATGGCTTCTACTTGGGAGCCTGTTTTGACCACTCAACTTAATGGTAACTGTTTCTCAACTGGCAGTTCGATAATGCAAGAGTTGCAGCGGGCAAATTTAGGGCCGAGTGGCAAAACATCAAGGCCAAGATGGAACAGATTGAAAAGGAGAAGTCTCAACTGACGCAGGAAAACCTTAGGTTAGAAAAGGAGAAAGAACAGATCACTCAGGAACTACAGACGGAAAAGTCGAATAACGAAAAGATTAAAAAACATTACGCGAACATCGCCAAGAGCAATGCACAAAAGCAAGCCCAATCATCAGAAGAAATCATGAAGAAATTGACAGAATCTCAAAGTCAAAATCAGGATCTCGCGAAGGAATTAGAGGCGTCGAAAAATCAATATCAAGAAGTGCATCAGCAACTCGAGGAATCTAAGAAGGAGTTGAAAGAAGAAAAGGAAAGAACGATAATGCGATTCAAGGCGCAAGAATCGATGTATTCGGGAAAGATGAGACGTTTGGAAACGGAAAATACTGACCTGAAAGGTCAAATTCAACAGTTGCAGAAATCTGAGGAAGCAAGGAAATCATCTGAAGGAGTTCCTGAGGTGGCGCCCGCTGTCGAAACAACAACATCAATAAGTCTCCCAACACCCGAAGTTTCGACCGCTATACCTCAGATTGCCGTAAAATCACCCGTTCTAAAAGTTTCCGATTCAATACCCAAAGTACCTGCTAAGGCCGAAACACCCGTTTTACGATCATCAGAGTCAGAAAATTCGGAAAATGTTACACAACCGATAAATATGTCGTCGACCAATACTGCGAAAGAGAAAGAAACACCCAAATCGCCTTCTAATCATCCTGTTTCTGATAAATCGGATGCTTCTCAAGCCGCTCAATCGGTAAATATTGATGATGGAATGACAAGTGTAGCAACATTGTCAGCTACGGCAACATCAGGTACATCAACGCCGACAGGTACGATAGCAACGGCGGGCGCAGGAACAACTAGTACAACTAGTACAGCAGCAATAACTGATACAGCAACAACATCAACTGGTAATCTAACGACAGCTGTTCCCAAGCCTGCGATTACAGCCTCTGCCACATCATCTAATGTTCCACGTGAAAAACCGCCAGTTAAGTTGCAGAGGAATCGAGGGTTATTACCGCAGCCAACATCCCCCCATGCGACACCGTATCAAAGCCCATCCATTACAGTAGTGGAGGAACAAAAATCGAATCAAACTCAAGTTATCTCGGGAGCAACAGAAATAATTAAAAGAGAAGAGGCCGTAGTGGAAACGAAACAAACTACCGGATCAGAGGTACCTCTGACGCGAAAACGCAATAGAGAGGAAAGTATGGAGGAACAGGAGAATACAACTCAAGAAGAATCGATTGTAAAATCATCTGATGAAGGTGATTCTTTTTTTTTTTTTTTAATGTCATCGAGATTATCTTTTTGTCGCTCATCTTCCAATCCTTTTAGGTCCAACGGAGATGCATGTGGATGAAGTAATAAAAGTGGAACCGACGGAACAATCCTCGGAATCTGTCGAAATTGCAGAGGAAGGTTCTAAAACACCGCAGAGCGTACCAGAATCCAACAACATGCCACCACTCAAAAAAGCTAAAATCGAAGATGACGCATAGATGTAACCCAATTTGAAGATTGATTCCTTTACTGACTGTGAATACGAAAAAACAATTTAGATAGCAATATATCAAAAAAAAAAATTTTTTTTTCTTGATTCTTAATCCAGAATTATCATTCTCAATAGAATGTTGAAATAATTATCATTTTGATTAAATAAAAAACCTAATTCATTGTAATTACTAGAGTAGCACTAATCTTATTCAAAATATATATATATATTTCGATCATTTAAAGAATAAAATTTTTTTCATAAACAGTTAAAATTAATCGAAACATATTATGCCCAATCGGATTGTTTACTTCGTCTACTGCAATTTTGTGCTATTTTTTTTCTTCCGATTGACCTCCTTTCAGGCCACCGATGGTCGAATTTATTTTAGACTTTGATCCTTTTACTAAATTCGATATTGATTCATGGGCTTTTGTGAGCTCCGGTGATCTCCCCTCGTATTCTCGGATTTTGACCGCGATATTACGCGTCGTTTGAGGAATAAAATAGTACGAAGCTACAATGGTGAACAGTATAGGACTAGCAATTCGGACAAGGATATTACCTTAAAATATTTTGCCAATTATTTTGTCAATTAACTTTCAAAGAATGCGTAATGTAATTAATTAGAATGTCAAAGGTACAGTAGAACATACGATTTCTTGCTACTATGGTTCCAGCGAGTCCTGCTACTGCAATGTACAAGATTTCTGGCTTGACTCTTTCATCGGGCGCAATCACTTCTTTCACCGTCCCTTTTATTTATGCCAAAACGTTAACATAAGAGAGTATCTTGATCATACGGTTCTTATTTTGAATACCTACTTTCAGTATTCTGTTCAACTTCGATCCATTTGTCTTTTATGTCGCGTATACGATGCTATCAAATATTCATGGGTGAATAAAATGAGTCCCAAGTTTTCCCTATGAATAATATAAAATTCTACCTCTAAATTAGTGACCGACTGTGCGATTCGAATCCTGGATTGTCTAATGCTTTGTTCCAACCTGCTGGGCGATTCTACAAGCACAATGTCTGGCTTTGGGTCGTCATAGATGCTAAGCTAACAACAATAAAGAAGGCATCGATCACTTAAAATGATTACAAATAATCGAGGAGCAACAAAATCACGACATATACCTTTGTGGGCTTTTCTCCTTCTGAGAGTATCGCACGCGGACTTTTCAAACCTATTACGGCCGACCCTACAAGAAACCCGGCAGTCCCGGTTATGAATGTAGTCTACTTTCAAAGGACGCTTTCTAAGTTAACCGAGTGAACCGATACATATGACTCTTACTAAAAACTTTCGTGCGTTCAACTTAAAACTAACCTCCCGTGGATATCCGAGAATTCCGAATGCGTTTCGAATTCGATTCATTTGATAAACGTGCATCCCGATTCAGGCCGAACCGATTTTTAAAATTTTTACCGTTACACCAGACTAAAAGGCATACCCGATGGCCAGGTACAATACATTGGAGTTTATCGTTCAAAAATGCCACCTCTACCTATAAACCTGAGCTCCCTCCCAAACGCCTTCATTAACGCTGTTACAGAAAATAGTAATGAGGATAGCGTTCCGAACGATCAAGTCAAAAGTCAGCAAAAGGTTTTATTGGCATCCTCGGCTGAAAAGGATGTTATATTCGCGTGCGTTCAACGAATCGATGACAAAATTCGCGGCGTAAAGGTCTGCGCTTTTTTTTTGCTGTTGGTTTAAATTGGTTCAATTTCGGGACCTCGATCATCCTGACGGTGAGTTATCTCCTCCTCTTCAAAGGCAGAGGTATTACAGTTGATTCGTGATCGACAAGAGGAATTCGTCGCTCTTTATGACGAGTCCGCTTCGTTGCGCAATAAAATCGACACCTTATTCATGGAAGTCGATAGCGTGTCACGAGGAATTAATGATCCTGAGGTATTCTATTTAATATTTGCATATCGACTGAATGTTTATGATTTTTCAAAATTCGACTTCATATTTTCTAATCCCAGTAACGTCGCTGTTGAATTCACAAGTACAGACAGGAATGAAACCAAAACTTCTCACGGCATTAAAAGACAATAAATTGATAAAACAGCAAGTTCAAAATACCAGGTGTGTGGTGGAGACGTTGGAATATCTGAGCGAGGTTAGTCAAGTTGAAGGATAGGATGAAACTCTGTTGGATATTTTTTTTTCTTTTTTTTTTTTTTACCTCAGTCATCTATTTCTATAGCTCCAAACTTCTGAAAAACGATTTCAAGAGTACATGATTCAAGGTCGGATAGAAGAGGCAGCCGGTACCATTACAGAGATGGTGAGAATGACTTTCTAACTGAATATAGACCTTTCTCATTACACTAATAATAGTCGAATTTAGGATAGATTGTTGGAATCCCCTCCGATACAAACGAATCAAAAAATTCATATTTTTGATAGATTAAAGGTATGGGATTTCACGATCAAAGGATAATTTTTAAAGCGAAGCGACTATTTCTGATAAATTCATATCTGACATCAATTAAATTTCCAATAATTATTTGCGGTGTTTAAATGTTCAGATACAACTAGCATCTATGAGAGAATCGTTAGAGCGAAATCTCGACGATTTGCTAAACGAAGCTATTTCTTTTAAAAAAAGTGGGGAGAATGATGCCGATGGGTTTAACCTCTCGGTATTATCAACTATTCAAGGCAAGACGCACCTTTCCCCTTCCATCATTACATTTTACATCATCTTTGTCATATTTATCTTAACACAGTTTATTCAGGGGATAATTCAACAATCCTTCTAACGTCCGTATTCGTTTCCCTTATGGAGATTGAGTCAATAAATATGCAATTGTCGAGATTAAAAAAAAATGCAATGAAATACCTCGTAAATCCATTGCTGAAACACCGGGATTCCTGGAAAGCATCAGTCAAAATTGAAGATGATATTACGGCGAGATTGTTTGTTGGACCAACCCGCGGAGGCGAAAATATTGCCGATTACAATCAAGGTGATGCATTTTCTGTTATGATTCTGAAATTTTGTGCATTCTTCATACTTGTAACTCCACGAAATTTTCTTTCAATAGATGTGACATTCACACCTTTGATCGTTATATTTCAGTTTGTGTACACGTTTATATTCGGCGGAATTAATCCGACATCCAAAGAAACATTGGTATTGCCGATTGCATCTCAATATGCGTCCACCTTTGGAAAGTTTATCTCTCACGATCTGCGTGACGTTGTAATTAATGAGTACCTTTCGCATGTGATTCCGACGGAGATCAGTGAATTCAAACGTTTTGAAGAAGTGACAAATGCCGTTAGACGTTTTCAGTTAGAAATGCGTAGAATGGGATTTATGCGGACACCTCGAGAGGGAGAAGAGGAGGAGGAAAGGACGTTGGGTGCATATGTGGCAAAAGTCGATATTCTTTTCACAGTAAAAAAAAGGGACAGGTTGTTGGAACTTGGAAGAAACATTATGTTGAACAAAAGCTTCGAGAGCGTGTTTATTATAAAGGAGGAACCGGAAGAAGTTATCAGCGAAGAAACAAGAGACACCAAACTAATCGATGACAAATTAGAAACTGAGAATCATCAAAATGGTGCCGATGTTGAAACGCAAAATATTAATCCGAATGAAGGTTGGGAGGTTGATTGGAACGAGGCATGGGATGAAGATGGTTGGGTTAACGATGATTCATCAAATCAAGAAAGAACACCAGGGGAGGCGGGTACAAACGCTTCCGCCAAAGTGGAAAAGGAATTGATGAAATACGCTGTAACGGTCAAGCCCAAACCTTTGATAGACTTGACAATTAACACACTGGATGAAGCTCAAAATTTAAACACAAAAAGGTATGATTCTCGTTACCGCTGGACTCACTCGCTCTTGTAACTACTAACAATCTTTGTAAATAGTGGATTGCGTCTATATCAGGCAACGCTAGACCTTTTTGACTTATATCGAGCAATAATGCCTGTATACCACTCGGATCAGCTTATCAATAAACCCGCTCTGGCCATGTTATTTCGCAACGATTGTATGTGGCTAGCCGATCAATTGATGATTATCCAAGATCAATATGCGGACTGCTTATCAATAACACTAGATTCGGATGATTCGAAAGGTGACAGAATTCTATACAAGGAGGCTGCCGACAGGTTGCGAGAGTTGGGTTCCGAGTGGTATGAAAAGCAATTGGTATGTTTCTTTCTACGATCTCTGATTCTTACTTATGACCTATTTACCGACTTTGTTTAATACCATGCACAAAGGATAAACAAAAATCATTACATAAGCAAATTTTGCAAGAGATGGGGGGAGTACAACAATCCGCGAATGAAGAAAGGTTCGAAGCCTGTCAGCGTTCTATGAACAGGATAGTGGATAATATGAATTACTTATCTAAAGAGTGGAAGGTTTGTACTTGTTTATACAATAGTTGAGTTGTTTTGTTTATTTTTTGCTGAGTTGAAAATAACTTGAAGGATTTCTCGATTTAGGAAATTTTATTACCCTCAGAATATTATTCAATAATGGGTTCACTAATAGGAATGGTGCTAGATATTATGATAGAAAATTTGGAGGATTTATATGACATCTCTGCAGAGGAATCTCATCAATTGAACTTAATCTATTCCAGATTATTGATCCTGGAAAATATATTCAACGGGAATAGGGTAGATGTAGTTTTCAGGTTGTTTTCTTGGAAGTAATCTTACATGCGCTAACAATTGTTTTTATAATGTAGCGAAATACAATTGAGCAGTACGTCAAGAATTGGAAAAAATTCTGTCAGATTACAGATATTCTAGAACTCTCTTTTGCCGAGATTATGAACAGATTTCGCGCTTCTGAGCTCGAATGCTTCACAACTAACGAGTTGGAGGGTCTTATATGTGCGCTGTTTGCGGATACTGCTCTGAGGGAAAGAAATTTACAGGAGATTAGAGACGGTCATCCCGTTCGGGAGCATTAAGCCAAATCTATGTACGCTCGTATCTTTCACTCTTGCAATAGAAATCAAATCATTCGAATTGTATAATAGTTGAAGAATTTTTGTGAAATGCATATTTGCTTAAAAAATACTTGTAATAGAAATTAACTTTAAAATGTTTCATAAGGACAATCCGATTAATAACAGAATATTCTAAGAACAAGTCAACATAATAACACTATAAAATTAAACATAATTTTATTAAAAAAATTTTTTATTAATTACTGTATATACTAAAAATTCATGATATTTCAAGATTTCAATTGATTGCTAAAGAAAATTATATAAAATACCAGTATATAAAGGAACATACATAATTAGAATATTTTTAGAAATTTACTAATAAGAAAAAAAATTGTAATATATCATTTATTGTCGAAATTATTATTAATTATATACTAATAGCATCTACTGTATATACATATTATGGGCACACAACATGATTGGGAATCTTTGATGACATGTCCTTTCGATCAATCGAAAGTTCAAAAGTTCGAAAGTAAGGATAAGCTTCCCTGTCACCCTCACTCACCATCATGTTCAGGGCACATGATTATCTTTAGTAACATTGACATATCCTTTCAATTAATAAAAAGTAAGGATAATATCCCTGCCACTCGATCACATCATTTTATCACCCTTGCCTACCTTTCACCTTGCCTAACCCTAATCTTCAGAAACTATTTTACTCCTTCTTCTTTCTTGTTTACATTTTATTTTACACAAATTTTATCCTCTTGTAACTGAAAAAATTGAGTAATTACCTTTCCTACTAATAGCAAAAAAGTTCTAAAAGGAAGAAAAACTAATATATAGTCAAATTATACTATAAAGAAACGCTACATAATTTTTGTTGAGTATAAAAGACTTATTTTCATCTCTTATTATCTTTTTATTGGCTATGAGAATGTTCGCTTCAAGGTTTTTCTGAGAAATTTTACCTATCTCAGTTTGATCCTAAATTTTGAATAATATAAAGTTTCTCATATTATGATTGAACACAACTTAATATGTTAGTAAAAAAGAAGTAAACAAGTTTCTATT